AATGCAGTTTTCAAGATGGGTTCAAAAGGATACAAATCTAGGTGCATTATCACTTCCTTCAGGTACAATAATCACTTTCTTTATGAATACAATTCACATGGACAAGGAACTTTGGGGTGATGATGCCGAAAAATTCAAGCCAGAGAGGTTTGCTGAAGGGATTTCTAAGGCAACAAATGGGAATAACTCATATTTTCCCTTTGGTTGGGGACCAAGAATATGCATAGGGGAAAAATTTGCAATAACCGAAGTAAAAATGGCAATATGCATGTTTCTTCAACGGTTTTCCTTTGAGCTTTCACCATCCTATGTTCATGCACCAAGGACTATGATCCTTCTACAACCTCAACATGGTGCTCATATAATCTTAAACAAGCTTTGATGGTGTTACAATTGCAGATTTCTTATGCTTACTTGCTCAGTAAGAGTGGGTCTGATTTGTGTCATAAATGATTTTTCAGATTGTTTTATAAGTTTTGCATTGTTCATCTTTTCAAAGGTAAAAATACATCTGAAAAAAAGTTTACGAGTTTATGTTTAAATCATCTTTAAAACTCTGCATTTTCTTCAATAACCAAAAAACAAAATTGGAGACATTTAAAACTCTGTAATGGTTGGATGAACAGAGTTTAGATATGTGAGCTTATAACTGATCTTAAGTTTCAAATTGACATTTTGAACTCAATCCTGTTATGTTAGTTTTAGTAATTTTTGTATCAAAATCCTAGTTTGTTATGTTCCAATTTCGATCAATGAACTGATTAATAGGAAGCAATAAAAAAGGAGAGTTTTTGGAAGCAATGCAACAACGAAAATTAAACAAAAAGAGTAAACCAATAATCCAAATGTGCAAAAGTCTTTCTTCTAAGAATGCAAATAAAGGATACTTGAAGTAAAACAGCAAGTATTATGTCATTAGAAAGAAAGAGGTCCTGATTCACATCTTTACCTCAAATAATATAATGCCCTTTGTTGTTTTGACGTTTACACCAGCCACCAACTTTGACTCCTACAAATATCTGCCAATCACCAATATACACACAAGTGAGAGTCTTCGTCTGACATCAAGAATACAAGAAAATCAAAGAAAGAAAACCAAAAAAACTGTCTCAGATTATTGAGTCATAGTACAAGACTAAACTGCAAGTGTGCATCTAGGAAAACAAATGAACCATCAAAATTTTTAACATTTATATACATCAGATGAAATTGCTTAAAAATTCAGATTGCCGATTGGAAGCTAGACTGTTCGGAGCTAAGGTAGGTAATACAAAGATTGTAAAAAGATAGAAAAATGAACAAAAACTAACTTAAATTTGGTTAGCAATCCCTGCATACAGGTTAGTTCCTATTTTGCAACAATCCGTAGGTGTGTATCAAAGTCTTGCACATGTTCACAAATAAAAGTGTCAGACTTAGAAGTCAAAATGCAGTCTTTCTCAGGCTCCTATGAATCTTCAATATTCCTCGTTAAACATTAAAAAGGAACAATAATCAACAAATAAAGAAATATAAAACAAAATTTCCATGTTACAACAAAGTTTTTTATTTTTAATAAAGAAGTTGATGGGAATAAGACAACCTCATTTGAATGGTCTGACATCATCCCTTGCGTAGTTGCATCCCCTGTTTTTACTTGTCAAAAATATAAACAAAAAGGGGAAAAAAAAAATCTCCTACAAAACAGGAAATCTAGGCATAAAATTTACAAAACCCAAAATAAAAAAAAAAAAAAAAAAAAATATAGAAATGGCACCAACAAGCTCTGTTTTATTAACAGTAGTCTGTGTATTGGTAGTGACAGTGTTAATCAAAGTGGTAAATTGGCTATGGTTGAGGCCCAAGAAGCTAGATAAATTGCTCAGACAGCAAGGATTTTCAGGTAATTCTTACAGACTCTTATTTGGAGACCTCAAAGATTTCGCCTCAATGCGAACTCAGGCCTTGAAAACCCCAATGATCAGCTTCTCTGATGATCATTATTCGCGTGTGGAACCTCTCCGCCATCATCACCTCACTAAATATGGTAATTCATCTAATATTATGGCGTATAACAATTTTTTGATCAGCTGATGGACTTGCTGCTATATATTGCTACTATACTTTTGCTGCTAAGATGTTAAATACTTAAATTTACACCTGTGGCAAATACATGACCAATAAAACAGAACAGATTGATTCAAATTATGGAGTGAGTAGAATTGTTCATGATCCAGCTAAAATTATTGCAAGTACTCCTTTGGTCTGGAATTATAGTCAGATATACTGCTATAGGATCCGGAAATTAGATGTCAGACTTGTCACGTAGTCTCAGATAGTGAATGGTTGGGCTAAGTTTGAGTTAAATTATTACTCTGTATGAGGATATTAAGGATATTTGTTCGAATTTCCTCCGTTTCTATTTAGATGACACGTTCAATTTAGGCACACACTTTAAGACGAGGAGAGTGAATGTTAAAGAAAGTGGGTAGACCATGTGCTTTACTGATATAGATTGATTTGGGTTGGCGTTTACTGCAGGAAAGGATTACTTTCTTTGGTTCGGCCCTGTACTGATGATAAATTTCGAAAGACAAAGGTGAACCCCATTTTGAAACAATTTGTTCCAGGGCTGAGCAACTTAGAAGGAGAAAAATGGGTGAAACATCGCAGACTGATAAACCCTGCTTTCCATATGGAGAAATTAAAGGTCACTCCCTACACTGTTTACTTAATTTTTGTTAGATACGGTATTGAAAAGGAAATTCAAGAGTTCGCAGAATCTAAGACAACTCATCTACTGACCATTTCATCTACAGAAATCAGTCTAACTATACATGAGATACTAACTTATTCAAGTAATATATTAGCAATGAAACTTTTTGGATGATAATAATTAACTTATGATGCTTGTTACAGCTTATGTTACCCGCGTTCCATGATAGTTGTGCAGAGATCATTAACAAATGGGAGATGGTAGTAGCTGAAAAGGGTTCAGGTGAGGTAGATGTGTGGCCAGACCTAATGAAACTCAGTGCTGATGTGATCTCTAGAGCAGCATTTGGTAGCAACTATGAGGAAGGACAAAGGATATTTGAACTTCTCAAAGACCAGGCTGATTTAACTCTTCTTATGACACAATCAGTTTATATCCCAGGAGCGAGGTGATTAATAATAGAATCCTGCAATATTTCTACAGATTAATCATTAGAAGCTGGGTTTAATCCTGCTCCTTACATGCAGCTACATTCCGACAGCTAGGAATAGAAGGTTTAAGGACACTGAAGATAAATTACATGCATCACTGCGTACAATTATCAACAAGAGGAAGGAGGCCATTGAAGCTGGTGAAGAGGCGAAGTCTGACTTGTTGGATATCCTATTGAACTCTAATTATAAAGAAATCCAACAAGCTGTTGGCAATGACAAGTTTCGGCATGTTGGGATGAGTATTCAAGAGGTAATTGACGAGTGTAAGCTCTTCTACTTTGCTGGACAGGAAACCACATCAGCACTACTAGTTTGGACTTTGATATTGCTGAGCAAGCACCAAGATTGGCAAGCCCGAGCACGAGAAGAGGTTTTGCAGATCTTTGGGAATACTGTTCCAGACTTTGATGGTTTAAACCATTTGAAGACAGTAAGTAGTGATATTTTCTTATGATAACGAATGATATCAAAAAGAAAAAAAAAAAACATCATATAATATGTTTCATTTAGGTGACTATGATACTATATGAAGTCCTGAGACTCTATCCACCAGCACAACGAACAACAAGACAGATCGATAAGGATACACATCTAGGGGAGCTATCAATACCCTCAGGCACGTTGATCAGTATCTCAATGCACTCTGTCCACCGAGATCAGGAAATTTGGGGTGATGATGCACAAGAATTCAAACCTGACAGGTTCGCTGAAGGAATATTTAAGGCAACAAATGGAAACAACTCCTTTTTTTCCCTTTGGTTGGGGACCAAGAATATGTATTGAGGAAAGATTTGCAATGAACGAAGCAAAAATGGCATTGTCCATGATTCTACAACGCTTTTCCTTTGAGCTTTCACCATCCTATGTTCACGCACCCACGACTGTTCTGTTTCTACAGCCCCAACATGGTGCTCAAATAATCTTACACCAGCTTTAATTGTATACATTTAAAGTGTATTCATATTATTACATCATATTGTTGTTAATCCTTAAGATATTTCAGCCTCTTATTACTCCAAGCATCGACCTATAAGTTAAGTTTAGAAAATGAAGTTAATTTGAACTTTTGCTAATTTTCAACTATTGCAGAAGTCACAGTTTGTACTAGGCATGTGTTTGGACTTTTTTAAGGTACATCATATCTGTAGTCAGATATGCCCAATCATCTAGCAAACTCTGCATTTTTTTAAAAACAGACAAATTGTTGAAGATTCACTTTCGTATATTGCACCACAGCACACTTACAAGTTACAGCCCATCCATACTCCAACTTTTGATTTTCACCTCAATTTTTTTGACTTAAAATCTTTGCTCTAAACTCAGTCAATGGAACGATCTCTTGTTCCAATAGGTTGCAGATCAAATATGAATGGAGAAAAGAGATCAGTTCACAAACAAAGCCATAAATGCTTGAACATTTAATCTTTCAGTTATTTCACCAGGTACCCTTAAGGTATTACAAAATTCATGTGGTACTCTTGTGGTTTCCAAAATTCACAAAGTACCGTTGAAGTATGATGTTAATGTACGAAATGTCATTAATGACTAACGGCATTAGATGAGCGTTAAGATATAGTTTGTAATGCACGAAAACCCTTAAGGTATATGAAATTGTTTAAATAATGGATAACAGCTTGTGTTTTGAAATGGCCTAAATGTAGCCATCCTCCACAAATTTGATGGCTATTTATTGACCCTATTAAAATTCTCCCCCCCCCCCCCCCCCCCCCCCACCCCTAACACTTGTTCTTTCTTCTTTGATTTCAAAGTTTAAGCAATGAGCTCACAATGTCACACATCATATACAACATTTGAATCTTCCTACGTTTAAGTGGCAAATAAACAAATTGCAAGTAGTGTTGGAAAGTGGTTAAATTTCCGGTTATGTGGTCAATCTCCAATCTAGATTACTTCATTATAACAACCCAATATGAAACTCACTAAAAGCAGAGTTTTCAGGTAAAGTTGCGCTCACTTCTCGTCAAGGTCTGTAATTCATGAACTTCTCATTCCACTTGGCTTTTTTTTTCCTCGTTTTGGCATTTTGGGTAGACAATTGTTTTCTTAACTGTTTAGAAGTCATATACTCTATGTGTTTTTTTTTTTTTTTTTTTTTTTTTTGAAGGAAATATACTATATGTGTTATGAGTAAAGTATATTGTTGCTAGTCCATTGCCGGTATAACTGTATGAGTAATATATGTAGGAAGATTCAAAGGTTGAAAGAAATGTGTGAAATTATGAGCTAACTCACTACTTGAACTTTAAAATTAAAGAAGGAAGAACATATATGAGGAGTTAAAAAGTTGTAATCGGGTCAATAAACAACCATAAAATTTGTGGAGCCCAAAAAAAAACCTATTCGTTATCCATTATTTGAACAATACTCATGTACATTAGGGGTATTTTATTTGTCCATTACAATGTAGCTCTTAACGTCCATCTAACTTAGTCAATCTTTAATGGCATTTCATACATTAACACCATACCTCAAGGGTATCCTCGTGAATTTAGAAACCACGAGGGTACCACGAGAATTATGCAATATCTTAGGGGTACTTGGTGAAAAAACCATTAATCTTTCATAACAGTTACCGAATGATACTATAACTCTATAAGTAACACAACATCAAGTATTGGGTCATAAGAAAGATGATTCAAATCTTAACCTCGAAGAAATTTAATCCGTTTGTGGCTTTGCCAAAGGCACAACCAGAAGATGATCCTTCACCAACCACCAACTTTGATTTCTACTTGCACATTTCACTGCCAACACCAATATAACATATGTTGAAAAATAAAAAATAAAATACGGATGGTAGAAAGAACAAGAAAGGAAAAAGTAGTAATATAAATAACAAGCCAAAGGGAACAAAAAATAAATAAATTAATTAAAGACTATTGCGTAATTCATGCAATCATACAAAGGGAACATTTTACAATGAGACACCCAAATCTGAAAGATAAGGAGGACCATTTTGAAACATAGGTGTACAAAAATTAAGTTAAAAAAAATTTCATGCAATCTATTTGTCTCATTACAAAACTGTTGAGATTATGTTGGCATTCTTATCATATTTTGGGCAGTTTCTTAAATTATAGGATTTGTTTAGATATGACTTTGTTGTGTCAATCTTGCAATTCTACCATAGCTTGAGATTTTATATTATACTATATGGATTAATGAAATTGAGGGTGTGCAACCTTTAAACCCTTTACTCAAAATTCACATGGTATGAAAATTTGATTATGTTGTTTTTCATTTTTTTATTATGATTTGTGAAGGATAGAAAATAACAAATAGCTTTTTAGAACAAACAAAGGTGGAAAAAAAAAATTTAGATTTACTCCAAGGATAACCAAAAAAAAAAAAAAAAGACAATTATTAGCTCTAGGCCACATAATCACAATGATTATAATAATATCTTGATCAAAATCAAGAAGATATGCAAATAGTAATACAGAATTTTCAAGGCCCATGGGTAGGTTGGTGACAGCAAAGTTTGAACCTGCTACTGATATAGTTGTCTGAGGATCCGGACGACCGGTGACGTATAAATAATGCTGTGGATTTAGAAAAATGTATTCAATAGATTAAAAGATATAATTAAATAATTTAACGGAGTGAAACTAAATTATAGCAGGATCAAGGCACCTTGATCAAGTAGCATTCTACCATCTTCCTAAATTAAACAAACTAAATATGTGCTATAATGCTATATATACTTCTGTGCCGATGAAACAATTCTTGGTTAACACTTGTCAATTAACTTCTATCATTAATATTTTTAATCACCAACAAATAAAAATTCATAAAATTTTGATATTCGGAAAATTATAAAACAAATCTAATAAAACTCACATGACTAAGATTTCCCTACAAAAATCAATAGATATAGAGATAATTTAGCATATAGATAGTGTAAATTTCAAGTGTTAAAAAAACGTAAAAAGTATGAAATTTTTTCAGTAGTATTGGTCCTCTTTAAGTTCACAGGGGAACATATTTTTTTGTATCTTTTCAAATTGAACTGGTAGAAAAATTTATTTGTTAATAATTATTAGGTAATAATTACATGAGTTTAGTATTACATTACGACAAAAACCAAAAACAGAGAATAAACAAGCATGTGACATAATGAAACTCCTATGACATCAGTTACATTAGCTTTGTTTAACTCCTCAGTTCTTTTCTCTCATAACAAATCAATCATACTCCTATAATGATATATTTAATTTAACATGATATATTACCAGATTTATGCTATCAAAAATAGCAAAAAATATATGGAAACAATGACAGCAAGCTCTGTTTTTCTATCAATAGTAAGTATTCTAGTAGTGACTCTGTTAATTAAGGTGCTGAATTGGGTATGGTTGAGGCCCAAGAAACTAGAGAGATTACTTAGACAGCAAGGTTTCTCTGGTACTTCTTACAAATTTTTGTTTGGAGACCTCCAAAACTTCGTTGCGAAGCACAATGAGGCCTTAAAAACCCCCATGGATAGCTTCTCTGATGATTATTTCCCGCGCGTGGAGCCTTTCCGCCACCAGCTTGCCTCCAAATTTGGTATGTAATTTAATCTCTTCATTTTTTAAGGTTTGATTTGCTTTTAAGAGGTTTATGTTAAAGTTTGATAATTTATGTTAAAGGATCAACTTAGCCAAAAGCATAAGTTGATGGGTGTAGGATTTCCGCTTGAAGTGAGGATGCGACAGGGCCTCATACCCAACGCTATATATTCCAAATTAGAGGAGGGTTGGACGAGATTTGCACCCGTATTTTTGTGTCATGCTGCCTTTTGATATCATGTTAGACCAACTCAACCAAAAGCTTAAGTTGATGGTTGAAACCCATGATTGATTTATATACTCTATCACGCCCTCTCCCCTAAAAGGATTATTGCTCTGGCCTTTCCAATTAGCTCTAAATTTCTAAGGACACTCATAAGTGAGGGGGAGTATTGAAACCCATTATAATCTCAATTATGAGTTTCCCACATTGGAGAAAGAACAAAGATGGTTGAAGCCCGATTTATATACTCTACCAGCTTAATATCCTTCAATTTAGTATTAGTTGCAAGTTTGCAACAGTTCTACTCTAGAGTCATTGATAGCTTTGACCATATACAAGGAAACACAAAGGAATATGGGATTATTTATGTGATTAGATTATTTTCAAGGCCAATCACATGAATAAGGATGTAATTGATATACGCAATACAAGTATACATTGTGTTTTAACTTTTAAACATTAAAAGTCACAATCAATGCAGATTGCAAAAGTCAAAGTAGACTAAGGATGTACTTGATATAAGCTTAATTTTAGAAAAGAAAAAATAATCGATTTCATGGTTGGACTTGATGAAGGAAAGGACTTCTTCCTCTGGTTTGGCCCTGTACCTATCATACAAATCTCAAAGCCACAATTGATTCGAGAGGCGCTGACAAAAACGCAGGACATAAGAAAGCTGAAGGTAAACCCAATTATTGGAAAGCTATTTCCAGGGGTTATTGGCCATGAAGGAGAAAAATGGGCCAAACATAGGAAGTTGATCAACCCTGCTTTCCATTTGGAAAGGTTGAAGGTCATTCCCTAGAACTCTTCAATTTATCTACTTCCCTTTAAAGTATAGCTGTATAGACTAAGAAAATTATATACCTTTGATGCTTGTTACAGCTCATGTTGCCAGTATTTCGTGATAGTTGTGAAGAGATACTCAGCAAATGGGAGATGTTAGTAGCTGAAAGGGGTTCGGGTGAGCTAGATGTGTTTCCGGATTTGATGCAACTCAGTGCTGATGTGATCTCTAGAGCAGCATTTGGTAGTAGCTATGAGGAAGGACAAAAGATATTCGAACTTTTAAAGGAGCAAACTGATTTAGGTCTTCTTATGCAACAATCAGTTTATTTTCCAGGGAAGAGGTAATCTATAGCATCAACTTATCGATAGTAAGTTGGTAAATAGAGTATTTTAACTGTGCCGCTTGCTTTCAGATTTATTCCAACAACGGAAAATAGGAGATTTAAAATGATAGAAGACCATATACAAAGTTCATTGCGTGAAATTATCAACAAGAGGAAAGAGGAAATTGATGCCGGAAAAGCAGTTAAGGCTGACCTATTGGGTATACTCATGGATTCCAATTCAAAAGAAGTACAAACTGTTGGCAGTAACAAGAAGCGGCGAGTTGGGATGACCCTTGCAGAGGTAGCTGATGAGTGTAAACTATTCTATTTGGCTGGACAAGAAACTACATCTATCCTAATAGTTTGGACATTGATAATGTTGAGCAAGCATCAAGATTGGCAAAAACGAGCACGAGAAGAAGTCTTGCAAACACATGGCAGTAACGTGCCTGACTTCGAGGGTTTAAACCATTTGAAGACAGTAAGTTAAATTATTTGTTTTTTGGTTTTGATGTTGAATCTTTAATGATATACATTTGATCTTCTAACTCCATTATTCGTTTATTTTAGATGACCATGATATTGTATGAGGTACTCAGACTCTATCCACCAGTAATGCAGTTGTTTAGACGGATTCATAAGGATACAAATCTGGGTTCATTATCAATTCCTTCAGGTGTAGAACTAACTTTCTTCCTAAGTACTATTCACCGGGATAAGGAAATTTGGGGTGATGATGCAGAAGAATTCAAACCAGACAGGTTTGCTGAAGGGATTTCCAAGGCAACGAAAGGGAATAACTCATTTTTTCCCTTTGGTTGGGGACCAAGAATATGCGTAGGGGGAAAATTTGCAATAACTGAAGCAAAAATGGCATTATGCATGATTCTACAACGATTTTCCTTTGAGCTATCACCATCCTACATTCATGCGCCCAGGACTAGAATATTTCTAGGACCTCAACATGGTGCTTGTATAATCTTAAACAAGCTTTGATGGTATTGCATGGTGATTGTATAATCTTAGACAAGCTTTGTTGGTATTGCAATCACAACTTTCATATGCATGCTTACTTGCTTAGTAAGAACAGTTGACTAGATTTATGTGGTATACGGGTAAAACAAATGATCATTCAAATTGTTTTTCCTACTATCTTAGACAAATTTTCCTCTTCTTTGTACTTGGATGAGTTTTTTCTGAAATTATAAACTCTGCATTTTCTTTAAACCAGAAAGTCACGGGACATCCACTTCAGTAAATTACACCACAACATTTACTTTAAATTCATCCATAATCATAACAGTTGGATTTTGGTGCAGTGAACATTTTTATATACTTCAGAAATGTGAGCCTAGAAATGAGCATGGGTTTGAAATTAACATTCCAACATATAATCTTGAAGAAACTATGTTTCATAACTATAATATAAACATAAATATGTGATCATTTTAAGGATTATATAATTGTCCATTTGTCTTCAATTCTCTTATGTTAGTATTTTTGTATTAAAACCTTATTTCCAACAGGCTGCACATGAAAAAAGAAGACGAGAAAAGAAGATATCTTACATAAAAGATCAGACAAAAAATAAAGCCAGCTTAAACATACACTAGAACTGTTTTACCATGTACCAGTGCCATAAGAAATATTAACACTTTGTAGGAAACAATGCAACAATCAAAATTAATACGAAAAGAGTATGCAATAAATCTCAATATGTAAAACTCTTACTCTTAAGAATGCAAATCAAATGATAATGTAGCACATCAAATACAGTGTAAGAAAGGGGTATTCACAACTTTACCTCAAGTAAAGTAATGCCCTTTGTTGCTTTGGCAAAGACATAGCCAAAAGAAGATGATCCAACACCAGCCACCATCCTTGATTTTTACTAATAACTTTCACTGCCAACACCAATATAAAAAAAAAGTGAGTTTTCTTTGTCAGAGCATCAAGTACATAAACAAGATTAGTGAAAGTAACACAAACTGACTTTATATCAAATTGTTAAGTCATAGAACAAGGCTAGAGTGCAACTATTCTAGAAGTAGATTTAGGAAAATGAGTGAACCATCGTATCTACAAACTCATATATAATGAAATTGCGTAAAGAGTAAGATTGCATATGTGACATTCCAAGGGAGCTAGCTTGTGCAGAGCCAAGAGAAGTAACATAAGGCTTGTATATTTTCCTCTCCAATTTCACAGTAGAGCTAAAGAACAAGGCTATAGTGGACTGAATCTCAATCTCTCCTCCTTACTGCAGGAGCCCCTACTAAGCACCTAGTTTTTCATTTGAAGATTTTTGAAAATTTAATCATTCAAAGACTTCTGAAATGATTACTAATACTTATCAAATGAAAAAAAAAAAAAAAACATATGCAAAAAACCTATGTGCCTTGTGGTATTCAGGTGCATAAGATTTTCATTTGATGATTTTTGTTCATTTAATGGTTTTTTTTTTTTTTTTTTTTCCTCTCTCAAGCCCATTATGTCAAGTTGCCTATGGTTCATCAAAGTGTCCTATGTGCATACTATATTTAAGTCATATTTAGACAAAGACTAACAAACCTTAAGAAAAAAAGTGCCAGTACTGCCAGATTTTTCGGGTCTAATAAAACACTATCTAAAATGATTGTAAGTCAAAATGTAGTCTTCCACGTCTTCTTTTTTTTTTTTTTTTTTTTTTTTGAAAAAGGTAAAGAAAAAAATAGAACATTAGGACTTAGGAGACCTTCAAGAGGAGAATCTCCAAAGCCCTCCATACCCATTTGGGTCTTAGTTATTCCTTGTTAATCATTGGACATATATCAACAAATCAAGCAAACATTCTAGATTACATTGAAATTTATTTATTTTTATTTTTTTTAGTTTATGATTTTACCAAAAGTAAAGGGGACTACGACACCCATCTGACATCATGCCTTGCATCCCCTCTCTTTCGTTTTATTTCAAAATTTTAAGCAAAAAGTTTACAAACCCAAAGAAAAGGAATGTAAAGAGTAACAAGCTTTGTTAATAACAGTAGTTAAGCAAAGTGGTGAATTGGGTACGGTTGAGGCCAAAAAGCTCACAGCAAGGTTTCCCACATAATTATTACAAACTCTTCTTTGGAGAATTCAAAGATTTCGCTTCAATCCGAACTAGACACTCCGTAAAGAACAACAGAGTGAGTCGAAAAGTGTAAATATTGTGGGATAAGAGGTAAGATTGTAAATTAAAAATGAATAAGGTAGAAAGTAAGTACCAATTAAAAAATAATACCAAAAAAAAAAAAAACATGGGTACATCAATTAAATTAGAGTAAAAAGGACGGTAGCTACATGATAGCCTTACATATTTATGACAAACTAGAGCCCTAGAAATGAAAGAAAGGGCGTTAGACAAAAGCCATGATTAAAATAGTGATAAACTAAAGTATGTGTATAAGACAAGTCAAAGTAAATCAGTGCAACTACACCATATATAAACGAAGTATGAATAAGCCAATTTTTTAATTATATTACTGGTAAACGTCAACAATGATAAAATATTACTCCAATTAGAGCATTACTTAACTTGTTTACCAAGACAAAATTATGATATATTAATAAGAGAATTTGACATTCGAATCAGAGAAACTTCCTCTGTTTTTCACTCTCTCATAACAAACCAATCGTTCCCCTATAAAGATGACTAATAGCTCCAATCTTAAAATTTAAGAAAGCAAACTAACAAAGAACAAAAAAAAAATGGAAACGCTGACTACAAGCTCTGTTTTGACAGCAGTAGTATGCATTACTGTTGTGACAGTGATGATCAAAGTGGTGTATTGGGTGTGGTTAAGGCCCAAGAAGCTAGAGAGACTGCTTAGACAGAAAGGTTTCTCTGGCACTTCTTACAAATTTTTGTTTGGAGGTATCAAAACTTTTGTCACGATGCGTGAAGAGGCCTTAAAAACTCCCATGGATAGGTTCTCTGACGAATACTTTCCGCGTGTGGAACCTTTTCGCCATCAGCTTGCCTCCAAGTTTGGTATGTGATCAAGCCTCTTCTTTTTTTGGTTGGATTTGTTGTTTCTAATGAAGAAATAAACCGTTAAGATGTTGGAATTTGGCAGCATATTACACTTTAATTGTCTTGGGTTAAAATACACTTCCTTGTATTTTATAACAGTTGTCACACATTAATCTTAGTCATAGTTAGACGACTTCAATCATATACAAGGATAAGAAAAGAGAATACATAGTAATATGGGATCTTTTATGTTAGATAATTCCAATTCGATTTCTGAAAAAAAATAAACTTTATAATATATACTCCGTACTTCGTAATTTTTTAAGGAACTTTCCACAATTGTGCAATCAATATATTATTGTGTATTAAGATAAAAAGGTCAAAATTAGTGAAGACTGTAAACATCAATGTGAAACTTAGGATTTCATAATTGGACTCAATGCAGGAAATGATTTCTTCCTCTGGTTTGGCCCTATACCTATGTTACAACTCTCAAAGCCACAGTCAATTCGAGAGGCGCTGACCAAAACGCAGGAAATACGCAAGGCGAAGGTAAACCCCATTTTCGACAAGCGTTTTCCAGGGCTTGTCAGCTATGAGGGAGAGAAATGGGCCAAACATCGGAAGCTGATCAACCCTGCTTTCCATGTGGAGAAGTTAAAGGTCATTCCCTTATATTCTTTAGCTTATCTTCTACCAATAATAATGTATAGATTAAGGAAAATTATTAACTTTTGATGCTTGTTACAGCTTATGTTACCGGCATTCCGTGATAGTTGTGAAGAAATAGTCAACAAATGGGAGATGATAGTAGCTGAAAGGGGTTCAGGTGAGCTAGATGTGTATCCGGATATAATGCAGCTTGGTGCTGATGTGATCTCTAGAGCAGCATTTGGTAGCAACTATGAGGAGGGACAAAAGATATTCGAACTCCTTAAAGAGCAGACTGATTTATCTCTTCTTATGCTACAATCTGTTTATTTCCCAGGGAAGAGGTAGTAATCTATAACATCAGCTAATTGATGTTGATTTGGCAAAGAAACTAGAGTTTTAACTATACTGCTTGCATTCAGATTTATTCCAACACCAAGAAATAGGAGGTTTAAAAAGCTAGAAGATCAGATACAAAGTTCACTGCGTAAAATTATCAACAAGAGGAAAGAGGAAATTGATACTGGAGAAGCGGTTAAGACTGACCTTTTGGGTATACTCATGGATTCCAATTCAAAAGAAATTCAACAAGCTACAGGCAGTAACAAGAATCAGCATGTTGGGATGAGCCTTGAAGATGTAATTGATGAGTGTAAACTATTCTACTTGGCTGGACAAGAAACTACATCAACACTATTAGTTTGGACATTGATAATGTTGAGCAAGCATCAAGAATGGCAAACACGAGCACGAGAAGAAGTCTTGCAAACCTTTGGGCAAAATGTGCCTGACTTTGAAGATTTAAACCATTTAAAGACAGTAAGTTATCAGTTATTTTATCCCATAATGTATGAATTTATACTCTTGTTAATATTTTAATGATATGTTTCCGATTTGTTTTATTTAGATGACCATGATACTGTATGAGGTGCTAAGACTCTATCCACCAGTAATGCAGATTACCAGATGGGTACCTAAGGATACAAATCTGGGTGGATTATCAGTTCCTTCAGGCGCAATGATAACTTTCTTTGTGCATACTGTTCACCGAGATCAGGAATTTTGGGGTAATGATGCACAAGAATTCAAGCCAAACAGGTTTGCTGAAGGGATTTCCAGGGCAACAAATGGGAATAATTCATTTTTCCCTTTTAGTTGGGGACCAAGAATATGTGTAGGGGAAAAGTTTGCAATAACGGCAGCAAAAATGGCATTATCCATGATTCTACAACGCTTTTCCTTTGAGCTTTCACCATCCTATGTTCATGCACCCAAGACTGTTATGTTTCTACAGCCTCAACATGGTGCTCAGATAATCTTACACCAGCTTTAATGGTATACAAGCAGAGAATTCATACTAATTTATCCTACTGTTTGTTATCCTTATGAAATTTCACTTCCTTATCAGTCCAAGGATTTGAACTATTAAAAATTCACTTGAACTTTTCTAATTTTCCATTACATTTGTAGAAGTTATGCAGTTGTCAGTAATGCTATGATTTCTAAATTTTTACCTTATCTATTACTTTGATTAGATAACCAGAGATTCACTTCAGTTATTGGCAATTCTGCATCAATTAGTTTTACTTTCCCTACCAGGCATCTTTCCCGAGCAATGAATCTCAGCATACAACAGATAAGTTGGACTCTGCGGTTTTTTTCCACATTGGCATAACTACTACACCTATTACATTCCAATCTCTTGTGTATTTTACCACAAAATTGAATTTTAAAGGGATAGAAGGTTGTCCAGTTCCTACAGGTTGCATCTAATATAACAATCTTCATACGAAGTAGTAAACAATTCAGCAACTAGAAAATAAATTGTGTATGTACGCACCAGCAATGCCTCAGGAAATAGCCCTGTTACTTTGGCAAAGATAACCAGAAGAAGATGTTCTTCCACTCGCCACCAACCTTACTTCAGCTCAAAAGCATCACTGTAAACACCAAACAATACATGTTAATTTTCGATGCTAGAAAAATAAAGCAATGCAAATTGACTATATCTAAGACATAGAGCTAAAGAACATAACAAGGCTTGGGCACAGCTGCTCTTCACATAGTTCGCAAAAGAATAAACAATAATTACCAGAATCAGAGACCGCAGCAGATGAATATATTCAGAAGATCAAGCTTGTATAATGTCACATTCCTAAAGAATGCACAGAGGCAGAGGCACCGGCAAATCTAATCCAAAATGTGCTACAAAACGAAATGTATCATCTAAGGTTTGCTTTACCCCTATTTATTGAATTACTCTGAATTGGCCATCATTGAAGTTAAACAGCACAAGAACCAATGCAGGACATTCATGAAAAATGCATGTTAATTATTAAGTAGCAAGAAAAAGAAGAGAGCAACAAACACATTAATACATTGGATGAATATGTTGGAACTTTCAGGCAGCAAACAACTTGAATAAGCATAGACATGATTTGTACATGCATCTTCAAGAATCAGCCCTTTCAAATTATCAAGTTTTCTGAAAAGGGGTTGAAAACATATCAAAATTTAGCCTTCAGATTTTCTGCACCACCAAACTTTGTGCATAAAGGTCCACATAAGTACATAATTGATCTATTGTTTGTGATTTAAACCTTTATCAAATCAAAATTATATACATAAACTTAATGTTGTAAATGATAGTTTATATATGTAAATGAACAACTAATTAAGTTAAAACAATCTTCTTTACGGAGAAAATACCAAAATAGAAGAGACTTTATAGAGCTACAGTTCATGAAATTAATCAGATGCATTGTGAATTCATGAAAATTTTAGGGCACACATTCATCTCCGTAAAGGTAAACAAACCAACAAAATGAGTTTCAATGATTACAATCCAAAATCCAAATATTTTTTTTTTAAAGTTTTCCAGTGGGAGATAAAAGGAGTAGTACAAAGAGATACAGTTATGGCATTAAGCCTATTACAATTTGGTTGTTCCCTCTTTCTACTAATTCACTTATACCAGATCAATTGAATGTATATGAGCCAGATCTGCCGACAATTCTAATCTTAACTTCTTTCCCAAGAAAAACAGAAGTAAAATATTAAAATGGAAAGTTAGTCATCTGATGTCATTACATGCGTTCTCTGTAACGCATACTCCCAATAAAAAGGATAAGATGTTTATATCATGAGATCTAAGAGTAAAATTGAACAAAAACAAAGAACCAGAAATGGAAACATTGATAACAACCTCTATTTTGCTATCAATTTTCAGTATACTTGTTGTGACAGGGTTTTTTCAAAGTACTAAACTAGATATGGCTGAGGCCAAAGAAGCTGGAGAAATGGTTCAGACAGCAAGGTCTCTCTGGTACTTAATACAAGCTCTTGTTGGAGACATGAAAGATTACTCATCATTGCACACTCAAGCCTTGGAGAACCCCATGACCAGCTTCACCAATGATTATTTTCCATGTGTTGATCCTTTTGCTCATCGGCTTATCACCAAATTTGGTATGTAATCTAAAATATATTCAAATTCATGAAATTAACACACTTGTATAAACATGGCTTCACCATTGTTCCTATCCTTCTAGATACTGTGATTTCGAGTAAAGGGAGAATTAGTATCATTGATGAGCATTCGTGCAGGAAAGGACTACTTCGCTTGGGCTGGATCTATACCAATGATTGCATCTCAAAGCCAGAGTTAATCAAGGAAGCCATGAAGACGAATGAATTTCGAAAGGAAAAGTTTAGCCCCATTATTGATAAGCTTATCCCAGGGTTTGCCAGCTAAGAAGGAGAAAAATGGGCCAGACATAGGAAGATCATCAACCCCACTAGGGGGTGTCCATTATTCAGATAAAAACCGAAATCCAATCCAATCCACACCGAATTATTAATTCGGTTTGGATCCAAACTTTAATTCGGATCGGATAGGATTGAAATTTTTTGAAAATTCGGATTTTCGGATTGGATCGGATTGACCTTGTTTGGATCCAAAAAACCAAATTAACCGAAATATGAAACCATACTTTTACAAATATTGATTGTTTATATTAATCATGTAAAATTATGTTGAAAATTACATTAATATAAATTATGTAAAACTATATTTTCAATACTTGTATTAATAATGTACAAATTTATAATTGCTTTTTTATTTTTATAATCACTTTAGACCCTAAAAATTTGCAATGTATTTTAATTCGGATTTTCGGATCGGATCCAAATAACCAAATTGTAATTCGGATTGGATCGAATTGGATTGATGAGAAAATCGGATCGGATTGGATTTGAAAATTAAAAACCGAATTTATTTCGGATCGGATTGGATTTGACCAAAATCCAAACCGAAAACCGAATAGACACCCCTAAACCCCACCTTCCATATGGAGAAGATTAAGGTCAATCTCGAAAATTCTTCATTTAAATTTCATCCGAAACAGCCTTCCATATGAAGCAATGATTTCATCACTGTAATAAACACATCTGATAGGAGGCCATTTGAGCAATACTGAATACTCAGATTTCTTTAAAAAAAAAATTGCATTTGGGGTTTGTTACAGCTTATTTTGCCAGCATTTCGAGATAGTTGTGCAGAGATGATCAGTAAATGGAAGGTTATCATTGCTGAAATGGGTTCAGGGGAGCTAGATGTGTGGCATGATCTAATAAAACTCACTGCTGATGTGATATCTAGAACAGCATTTGGTAGCAGCTATGAGGAGGGGCAAAAGATATTTGAACTTCTCAAGGAGCAGACTGATACAGCCCTTCTTCTTTTGCACTCAGTGTACATCCCAGGACCAAGGTAATACATCTATAGCATAATAAAGTATTCCTGAATTAGACCAAAGAAATAAAGTCTGTTATTACATAAAGTTACTTAAGTTAAATTTGTCCTTTTATTGGGGTTTCAAGAAGACATAGATTATAATTATTTTTTTCTTTTTTTCAAATTGAGCTGATCCCAAGAAACGAATTTATCCTTAAGTGGACAAACTCTTCATTAACATGTTGCAAGGTCATGTTTAGCCAACATGTTGACAAACTGATTACGATAAACTAAAAAAAAAAAAAAAAAAAAAAAAGAGAGAGAGAGAGAGGGGATGAAACAGACCATTGTTTTTAGAGTTCTCTTGCATGAGGACAATCAATTTGGTTGTTGTGCTTAAGATCCTCTCCTTCCCATTTTTGGAAGAATAAGCCTAGTCACTCTAGATAGGGGGGTAGGCCTCGAAACAGCTTCTCTTTTTGTCTTACTTCCTTGAATACCCAGTTATTAGGTCTAATCCTCCACAAAATGTAAGGAATATCCAATTTACATTTAGATCAAAATCAGAAGGAAAAACATAGAGTTTCTCACTCTTCTGCTCATTAAGCAAAGTAATGTATGATGCTGCCACGTGTCTTCAGATACATTCCAAAATTCCAACATCAAGAAATAGAAGATTGAAGAACATAGAAGATCAAAATCACAGGTCACTACGTGCAATCATCAACAAGAGAAAGGAGGAAAAGGAGGCTGGAGAAGCAGTAAAGGGTGATCTATTGGGTACACTCATGTATGCAATTAAAAAGAAATTCAACAAGCTGCAGGCAATAACAAGTATCAGCATGCTGGGATGAATCTTCAAGAGGTAACTGAGGAGTGTAAACTATTCTATAGCTACATCAGCACTATTAGTTTGGACATTGGTTTTGAAGGATTGACAAAAATAAAAGTCTAGTTGCATTATCACTTCCTATGGGCACAATAATCACTTTCCCAATAATCTTTATTCACCAAGATAAGGAATTTTGGGGTGACGATCCAGACAGGTTCTCTGAAGGGATTTCCAAAGCAGCCAAAGGTAACAGCTCATTTTTTTTTTCCCCCTCTTCGGCTGGGGACCAAGAATATGTATAGGAGAAAAAATTGCTATGACTGAAGCTAAAATGAAAAGAATTCGCACCCATAAATGTTATGTTTCTGCAGCCTCAACATGGCGCTCAAATAATCTTACACAGGGTTTGAAGGTAAGGAAGAAAAAAGTAATAATCTGATAAGGTCTTAAATAATCTACCTGCAATGTTATGTCGCATATTGATTTCTTTTGTTGATGCAGCAATTAATGAAGTATTATCAAACAACTAATGACAGTAAGATATAGATTTTTCTGTAAAATGGTGTAGCAGTCAATTCACCATAATATGCTCTCAAGCACCAACTGTTTAACTTACCTGAAGAACAAAAACCTTGTTGTCTCTGGACAAATAACACTAAGAGGAAATGCTACTCCGTCAGCAACTAACTTCGCCTTCCATTAATATGCATTACTGCCAGTCTGCCAATGCCAAATAATAGAAGTTTTTACGGTCATCGTATCATTTGAAGAAGAAAACATAGAAAACAATGAGAATTACCTTTATCTCTCTATATATATAAGCATTAAGCACACAATGCCAGCAATTTATCATATTCCACACCAAAGAAAACAAGGTTAAAGAGCAATTTCTCTTCAGAATGCATAACACATTCTGATTTTGTATAATTTACAGTTAAGAACTGATGCAGCTGAAATAAATTTAAGTTAAATGAGATCAAGTTTTGACAAATTACACTTTAATTCATTCTCATTACCACAATTCAAAAAATAAAATAAAATAAAAAATAAATAAATCTCATTACCACAATTTATTACTGGCTACCAAACGAAACGGTAAAGGAAGCGGGAAGGAGGAAGGTAACATAGGGATTCCACAACCTCATCTCTTCCTCTAAATCAGTCATCAAAATCTTAAAATCATACTTACTTTATCTAGAAAATTAACTAAAAAGCACCAATTTTTACTAGTGTACCTGAATCGGAGCAAGGTTTTCACCGGCGACATTGCGAAGATCTCCGGCCATAATTCCGGCGGTAAATAGTTGTTTTCCGGCAATTTGGCAGCGATTTTCTCCTTGTTTGAGTTCTCAATTCTAGCAGATTACTCTGAATTACTGGAAAGTTTCAGGCGTACAGATTACAGAGTAGGGTTTTGGTGATCAATCGCACTTATAATTGTGATTTTGGAAGCGCTGATCTTCCTCTTTCCAATAGAGTAAATGATTAATGAAATAATGTACCACTAGTCCACTGTAATGTATTACTAGTCCATTACCATGTCACAGACTCACAACTCACAACTCACAACTCACAAGGACATGCCGGTCTTTTTTTTTTTTGGAGGGAGAGCCAAGAAGCACAAGGGCATTCCTCACTCTCAAGGAAGTCCCGGTCATGATAAACAAAAAATCTAGTTATTTTAATCAACATTTACTAACCCACATTTAATAAAATATTGTTAATTTATCTAAGAAGTATCATTATACATTTTATTTTCTTCATTTAAATGTGTATTTTCCCGTCACACATTGTTGCACTTGCATTTTCTAAATTTTATTCCCTTCGCTTTTTTAAGTTTTACTCACTTGCAACTCCAATATATATACTCTCTCCGTTTTTTTTAAGTTTTACTCACTTGCATTTTACGCAATCTTAATTGCACTACTTCATCCATTTATATCTTGAATTGTACATTGGTAAGATTTTTTTTTTAGGGTTTGATTTCTAAGTCATAATTTTGATTATAGTCGCAAAACTCTGACATCAGCCCCGCTGAGGGAAATTTTCTATCTCTAATAATTTGAGTTATTAATGACTCTAATAATGTTAAATTAGTTGATAAAAGTTGTGCTTAAATTAGATGGTAACATATTACCATGATACCAAATTACTCTTGCATTATTAATACCAACAAACATAAAATGCTTTATTGATCTTTAGTATTATTTGTTGGTATTAAAATCATACATAGTACCATAAAACTACAATTTTATATCAACACATGTTATAAAAGTCAATAATGACTCAAGTTATTAGAGGGTGAGACTTAACCATCCACATCACTCCCATAATTACACTTTTGCATCTAATCTTCTATAGTTCCATTCAATTTATATTTTTAGGCACGTAGCTGTCAATATATGATAAATTTTTATTTTTTTTTTAAAAAAAAAAAGGACACGTAGTAATACTTTTAGGCAAAAAATTTATACGTAGCAGTAGGAGAGTAGGAGACTAGGAGTGATATAAAGGCAACCAAAACCATCTACTGGTTATTTTATTCATTAAAAACATTATAAGACTTAATTCATTACATATTTTTCCTGGCCTTAATCGAACTTACTTTAGTACTAGAAGAACAAGAACAAAAACACAAAGAAAGAAACTAATTAATAAGACATTATATTCAGAAGAAGTGTTGCTTATGAATGTTGCTGACTTGATCCAGAACAGTAAACCCTTGAATTTTATCCTCGATGGATTTGATGAATTGGAGAAGAAGTGTTTTTCTCCAAGAAATTAGCTTGCGTAGCTATATTCATATTAAGATTCTCCATTGAAGCTCTCAGAATTTCGAGTTCATTTAAGCCAAGCTTATCAATAGGTTGCTCCCACCAGCATTGGCTAGGATTTTTCTTCAAGTTGTCAAACACTTCGCCCCTAGCCTTTTCAGCCTCTAGGAGATCAAGTATTTTGGACAGTTGCGAGTTGAGTTCGCGCATAGTAGTAGTTTGTTGACCTCCATGGACACCCTCAGAACATATTTGGTTACGATTAACGTAACGATTGACTATAGATTCAACATCTGGCTGACCAAAAGAGAAGATTTTTTGGCCAGGGGAAAACACAATTATTGTGGCTTCTACACCACAAAGGGTGCAGATTTCACTAGCCTTCTTAAAGAGACCTAAACGGCGTTTTGAGAAGGTCACTTGTCTATGACTAGGATTCTTAATCTTAGCCATTTTGATCTTTTGACGACCTCTGGATTCCTTCTTCGGCATTGATGAAGCCATGAAGGATGGGAAGAAATGATTAAATCAATAAGCTATTTTGTGGTGGTGGTGTAAGAAGGCGTACTAACTTGAGGGGTATTTAAAGGGTAGTGTGTGGTTCTTGAGAGAGGCTTTGAAAGTTAATTTTAATAATTCTTAACCAATTATTGTAGAATCCTATCCAATTAATTATGGAGATTTATGTACCATTTACTTGGTAATTGTACTGTTTCATCGTAGAAGAGATTAGCATTTGACTTTATGAAGTCAATTATTATGTATCAATAATGTGTAATTATTTGAATGGTTGATTGGTTTATGAACCGGCATGAATATCTTATGTTTCCTTATTGCATTTAGAATTTGTTTTAACTTTTAATTTGAGTATGAATACAACATAATGAATCATGTACAATTAAGCAAGACCCTAAAATGATAGATGTATAGAACGCGGAGGCAGTGATCCAAAATCCAAAGTTGGGGTCGGTCTTTTATAGAAATATAGAATACAGAGGAAAATGCATTGAATAATTGTCCAATATTTTAAGTTCTAAGTGTGTAGAAACCCTTCAAATATATATGTGATTGTAATGTCTTATCTTGCCAATGTGATTGATTCATTTTGTATCTTGCTAACAAAAGAAAGTCATTAAAACAAAATATTCACTAGTTAGCATAGATGGAAAAATATAAGGGAGATTATGTACAAAGATTATGATCATGATAATATATGCGTCGGTGTTACGAGTCTTCCGACCAGGTGTAAAATTTGTAAATTAATCTCGATAATATATACGAATATTAATGTTCCGAGTCTTTCGACCAAGTTTAAAATTAGTAAGGTAATCTCAACAATATATACATCGATGTTACGAATCTTCCAACCAAGTGTAAAATTAGTAAATTAATCTTATATAATATATAATTTAATGTTTCGAGTCTTCCGACCAGGTGTAAATTAGTAATTAAATGTGTGAATTAGTAATTAAATTAATCTTGATAATATATAATTTGCTGTTACAAGTCTTCTAACCAAGTGTAAAATTAGGAAATTATACCCTCTCACATAATTAAGAGGATGTAAACCAAGAGCAGAGTAGAAATTCTGATTTACGGATTTTTAAAATAAATGTCATCCATTACTTACTTAATAACTTAATTAATATTATCTGTTTTAGCAAAGGAGATTAATTAGGGTTTGCTTATTAAGATTGCAAAGAGGGATATTAAGATTCAAGGTAGGTTTACCGAAGTATACGGGAATAATAAATTATTTAATAAGCTTAAATTTACTTTTATTTGACATCATAAACTCTAAGAATTATGCTAACTTGGCTCCAAGGCATTGTAATTTGAATTAGTAACATCACATTTTAATAATAAAGGAAATCATATAGATATATTGCAATGATTACACAACTATTATGAAATTGAAAGTGGAAGCCCACCAACTCATCAGCCACCGTAATTACGAAGGTGCATTTTGTATTTTGGCACTGGTTATAAACCGTGCAACATACCTTTAATTTAGTTTAATATTAGTACCTTTTAACCAAAAAAACAAGAGATAGATTACACAACTATTAAGATTTTTAATTTACAAAAAACCGTGTGTGCACCTAGTTCGCAATAATATAATTGTGGACCTAAGGTCCATATGCGTGTAACTGACATCATGATGAACACAGTTAGTCAGTAACTCTAATTTTAATATAATAACCTTTAATTTTAAGTTCTAAGTGTGTAGAAACCCTTCAAATATGTGATTGTAATCTCTTATCTTGCTAATGTGATTGATTCATTTTGTATCTTGCTAACAAAAGAAAGAACATTAAAAAAAATATTCGCTAGTTAGCATAGATGGAAAAATATAAGGGAGACTATGTCAAAAGATTATGATCATGATAATATAAATAGCGGTGTTGTGAGTCTTCTGACTAGGTTTAAATTAGCAAATTAATCTTGATAATATATACGAACATCGATGTTACGAGTCTTCTGACCAGGTGTAAAATTAGTAAGTTAATCTCGATAATATATACATCAATGTTACAAGTCTTTCGACCAGGTGTAAAATTAGTAAATTAATCTTGATAATATATAGTTCGATGTTACGAGTCTTCCGACTAGATGTAAAATTAGTAAATTATACCCTCTCACATAAGAGGATATAAACCAAGAGTAGGATAGAAATTCTGATTTACGAATTTTTAAATAAATGGCATCCTTTACTTTTTAGCTAAGAAGATTAGGGTTTTCTTATTAAATTGTAGAGAAGGGAGATTAAGATTCAACATATAGTAGGTTTTATTTTATCGAAGAACGCGGGAATATTAAATTATATAATAAGCTTTTTTTTTTTTACGACAAATTATATAATAAGCTTAATTTTACTTCTATTTAGCATCATAAACGTTTACAAGGATTATGTTAACTTGATTTCCTATACATTGTAATTTGAGCTAGTAACATAACATTTAAATTATAAAGGAGAATCTCGCCAAAAAAATTATAAAGGAGAAAGTACATACATTACAATGAATACATAACTATTACGATTTTCAATTTATCCAATTGCATTACAAAATGAATATATAGGATAGGGTTCAACTCAACAACAACAACAACAACAAAAAAAAAAAAAAAAAAAGGTTCATTTCGCTACTCCTCGTATTGTAATGTAATGTCCTTTGCACAAGCTTCTTCGCCCGTTAGTGTAATGAGATTGCAATGTGGAGGAGGGTATGTTTGGAAGGGGCTGCATATTGGATAGAAGATTGTTTAAACCAACCTGAATATTAGGCTCACGTTGTCTGTTTCGACTTTGATCTCGAGGACTTCAGCTTCATTGAATTGCCTATCCATCTATATATTCGGATGTTCTATCAGCTTCTAAGGTTTTTCGATTTTGTTGTTTCAACTCGATTTTACACTATGGTAAATAAGATCGCTAGAGATAATTACATGTATACCTAGGTCACTTAGTTATGTCTGGCATGCATATAATCTGGTTGTATATTATCTATCTATTTATAACTATACTAAAACAGAGGGCACTACAATCAACAGCTCCACGTGTCATTTTGTCATTAAAAAATAATGTAAATTTATTTAATTATGTATTGTAGCAAAAATTATAAAGAATTTGATACGGAGTATTTGAAACTAAAAGTTAGACGAATCTAATAAAACCCTACATATTTATATGTGTTTTTTCTTAGCACTAAAATCTAAAAAATAAATAAATAAATGAATAAATAAAGTTTAAGTAGTGAGCAACCGCAGCGGTACACATTAGGTACCTGCTTGCTACGAAGTATTACACAAAAGCTTGGAGCATCATGCTCTCCACCGTGGGAGGATTGATGTCGTAGCTCAAAGCCTCCAACTAACTACACTACTCTGTAGAGCAACGTAGTTTCACAAAGCCCAATGTGTTTTGTTGGTTGTTGGTAATTCTTTTATACAGGTGTAAATAAGCAGTCTAATTTTTTCTTACCTCTTAACTTTCACAGTTATTATGCATAATTTTAAATGCGTCTGTTATATCTCTAATTTTTTTATTAGTCAAAAATTATTAGAATTTGATATTGTGAAAATATAAATTGAAACAAATTGACTATATCTTACATGACTACTCTGTATATTTTGTCGAACAAAAAAAACATAAATTGTACAAATTTCACAGTGCAACTAAAAAAGAACAGAAGAAATATATTTAATTTATTTTTGTTAAAAATAAAATAATAAATATAGAAAAAAACCTTCATATCAAAAACGGATTTAGTAAAAAAACGAAATTTAAAATTAACGGGTAGTTTTTTAATTTCTACAACACAAATATTATCACACATATTATTTTCCATCATCTTAGTTGTCCTCCGTATACTCATTTACACCATGTTACAAAGTAGGATGTTTAATATTATACGGGACTTGCAAAGCTACAAGAGAGGTTGTAGCTAGAATTAGATGTAGTTTTAAATTATTAGGTGGCGCTTGTAGCTAGCCGATGTAGATGCTCTATGGGAATAATGTACAAAGTCAAAACATGTCAACTTAAAAGAAATAGAGGAAGTTAGAAGTATATATCTATATTAGACACAAGTGCTTAAATTCTAAATTGGCATGTGACATCTCTAGAATGAAAAAATTTCAGCTATTTTAATCACTCATATTTAAAAAATAAAATAAAAAAAAGTATGTACTACTGTGTAGTACTTGTATATCTCTATTGATTTTTGTTCTTATTAATTGATACTAAATACAATAACAGACCTGTTTTGATTAATTTTATAAATAATTAAGATGATTACATTTAGTCATGAAAATGGTAATTTAAAATATGTTTATAAACACAAATTTTGAAAAAGAATTTGGGTCGGGTCAAGTTTGGGTTTTGGGTCGACATTTTTGGGTCGATTTCGGGTCACGAGTCGGGTCATCGGGTCTGGGTGAGGACTGCCAGGTCTACTTTATAGATTTATCAATTATTTAAAAATACTTTTTGTATGCTTTCTTAGACTTGATAAAATTTATCAATAAATAAGTCAACTATATTATAAACACTTTTGTGTACATCCGATTAACAATAATAGTAGTGTACATTGAATGTGGCTCTCGAAACACTATATATATATATATATATATATATATATATATATATATATATATATATATATATATATATATATATATATATATATATATATAACCAATGATAGGATAGTGTACTTTTAAGTTATGTTGGGTAATGTTTAACCTGATTTGATTTTGAAGTAAATAGACAATGAGATAATAAGTTTTATAAGGGTAATGTAGTTACTTTTACTCACTCATATTTTGTTTTTAATAATTTAAATATTGTATCATTATCAATAAAGCATATACGTAAAACTTTTATATATGTCAGAATGACTCTGATTTATTTTGGGTAACTTTTGATCTATCATTTTAGGGCGACTTTTCAACCAATATATTTAATGTTGTATACCTGATTTTTTATTTTTAAAAAGTCTATGACTATATTATGGGACGATAGAGTATGTTTTATTATATTGATAAAAACAAAAGTGCACATGAAAGGTAATATATAAGATATGTGAATGTGCATGACTACATTAAAATAGATAAAACATGACCAGGATATTTGTAAAAGTTGTAAACCTTTATCATATAGCTATTTCTGAACCTTTTATTCAACATTGAATTGAAAATATGATACAGAATATCGTGATAGATGATTAGATGGGTACACGTTATTGTGACTAAAATTATTATACACTAAAAGCTTTCAATATAATAAGTAATAGTCTAAAATTTATGAGAGTTAATATTTGAACTATTTAAACCGTGCATCTGCATAGGTACTATACTAGTTGTATGACTATAAGTTAAAACTTAAAAGTTATATGATCTCGTGATTAATTTGTATAGTATATCATCATTATGTTGTATTTATATAAGTCCACTATTCTCATTAGTCGGAGGATGATTATTCCAATAACAGAGGATGCCTTTAAATAAGCTTACAGAAAGACTACAACTAAGAAAAGATATACTACCTCCGCCCACGAATATCTGCAACATTACCATATATGGATGCTTTGAGTATCTGCAACAAACATTTTTTTTTCCTTTTGTAGTAAACTTTTACCCCATTAGTTACTGTTTTACCCTTACTTAAAAAACTAAACACAATTTCTATTTACCTAATTACTTTTACTTATCTACTAATAATGTATCCCCCCCTAATGATTCCTCCAAATAATACCCCCTCATCTCCCCTGTCAATCACCCAACCACCCCATTCAATGAACTTCATTGAATTTGCCCAGATGTTTCTGCCCAGATTAAATGCTTGGGTCTGGTTTTTTCCAGATTTTTGGTTTAAGTCTCTTCGCATCCCTCTTTATTCTCATTTCCATCAAACACTCTCTCTCCTGTTCTTCGTAACTTTTTCTTCTTCTTCTCTCTGTGAAACCCTAACTCTGAATTTCTTCAGATCTGAAGAAAACCATGAGTAATTCAAAGGATCTAAACGAGTCCCCCAAAACTAACACTCCAAACAGTGAAATTGAGCCATATTTCACTAGGTACACCTTACAGGGAGGGTCTGGAGAACTTAAACCAGTTCGTCGCTGTTCAGCTTCTTTTTCTCGATTCAAACATGGAAAAATAGGGGCTAAGCTAGTAGAGTACATCTCTAGTGATGAGGAGAAGGCTGCGGGTCAGAAGAAGGTCGTAGGGAAGAGGGAAGTGTTGGACCATGAAGAGGGTCTCAGGGTTCGAGTACAAATCGGCCCCAAAAAGCGGCCATGAAGGAGTCGGTGGTGGTTATCGACGTTCCTTCTTCGCCAGAGGATCTGACTAGGGTTTTCCCTGAAAGTCCTGCTGCTAGGGCCACTCCCGGCTCCGGCAGTGGGAAGAAGAGGCCCACGACGACTACAGTATGTGGGACCCTGACTACATGCGCTATCTAAGGGACAAGTTCCCTAATGACTTCCCCCCTCAAATTGACTCTGCAGCGTAACTAACACTGAACCCTTATTTTATTTTCTTGAATTTTTTGGGTTTATGTATGCTTTAAGGGAATAGATATGTGATTTGTGAGTCCTTTTTTTGTGGTTGATGGTTGATATGTTGGATGCGTGGTTTATGCTGTTAACTGATGTTGTTGATGGATTATGCTGATGGATTATGTTGATTATTTATATTGTAAATTGTTGTTGTTGATGGATTATGCTGTTGAATTATGCGGATGATTTATGTTGTTAATTGATGTTGTTGATGGATTATGCTGATGGTTTATGTTGTTCACCTATGTTGTTGATGGATTATGGTGGTTGGTTTGTTTGTTGTGCATGTATTCTGGTGAGATGGTATGTGGGCTGTTGGTGGATTTTTTATGGTGCTGTGATGTTGTGCAAGGATTCTGGTCACATTGTGTGTTAGTTTTTGATGGGTTCTGGTGGAGTCCCTACTTAGGTTTGGACTGTGTTTGTGAAATGGTAATGGCCAAGGGAATGGATGTTTGATGAATGATGATTTATGTTGGATGTGTGGGGTCCCTTTTCCATGTTGCCTTGTTGTTGTTGCAAGTCAGTGCCTCTAGTGAAATGAATGAGTCCCCACAATGTATCTTGTCTTTCACATAATTCCAAATGATGAAGGGACTCACTTTGAGTAGGTTGTGAGGTTTGTTTTGCTCCAACAAGTGCCTTAAAACACTTGTTGTTGAGGTAACAACCTACACAAAGCTGCTGAAAACAAAATGTTACCCTGATGGAAATCATAGTTTGCTATTCAATCTGGAATTCATTGAGTTGCATACAAAAACTTTCAATTGCATAACTAATACACACAATCTTTCCTTACATGACTGCCTATAGTAATGCATTTAAACCTAGCAAAATACACATAACCAAATCATAAAAAGCATTTAATCAAAAACATATGCTTACTTTACACAAAAATCTGTTCTGAGTTCATATTTGGTTAGGTGTGGAAGTCATGTTGTCTTTCAAACCTTGTGTAGTGCCTAGTCTGCATCAACCTCAGTTTCCATATACTCTTCATGTTGTTGATGAATAGGAACAACAACTGTGTTCAGAAGTTGAACTGCTTGTTCAATGAGTTCCCTCTCAACTTCTAAAAATTCTGGCAGCTGCCCTAAATTGTCCAATCTTTTCTTTTTCATGTGAGGTGGATTGAAATTGTTTCCACCTTCTTTTTCTAAAATCATTTTCATAACACTTTGCAAAGTGATCCATGTATACTTGTTGAGTATTGGATCAAACCATTCATAGGCCTCATACACCTTCTCTATTAGCTCTTCAATCTTTCTTGGAAATGACTGGTATTGCAAGGATTGTATGACATTGAACAATCCAAGATCCAGTACATTAAGATCTGGAGACTGTGCAGGTTGGAAAACCATTTGTATGTTGAACCCATTTGCCGTACAAGCTGCCTTAAACTCTTCATCCTTTGGAACTTGATGTGGTCTGGCATTGTCCCACTGGATGAATACATCCTTAGACAAACTTGGGTGCCATTGGTTGTGTATTGCTGGGATGATGTTGGTTAACAACATTTTCCTGATTTCTTCTCTGGTTACACTCTGAACAACCTTTGTTTCAAGAGTCCCTGCATCTCTGTTCTAGCTTTTCTTCTTGGCCAATTGCTGGTAGGTAAAAGGAAATATTCCATACTTACCATCATGTAGCATGTTCCCATTTAAGTCATGTAGAGGCTTCCCAATCATTGCCATGAACATAGCTTTTATTTTGTACCTTTTGGACTGCTGACACATGTAGGGATTTTCTTCCTTTGACAACAAGTAGAATTGCCTTGTCTCTGGGTTCATGTAGAACCATTTCTCATCTATGTGAATCACTTGTTGCATATCAATGAAAGTTGGATTTCCTACTTGGGGGATTGGATGAATATGGGCTAATGCCCACTTGAGTCTTGCCAATTTGTGATTTGATGTGAGTGCTGGATGGTTGGTTGCTGAATGTGTTCTAAGTCTGCCCTTTTTCTTCAAGTTGTGTATGAATCCATGTGATACCTTCAGAGCTGCTGCATAGCTTCTCTCTGTTACCCTTTTGTATAGAGGCACTGACTGCAACTCCTCATCACTAATAAATTTGGGTTGTCTTCCTTTTTTCCCTAATTTTTTGCTTCTGACATTAATAAAATTCCCTTTGGCTATGCTGTCTTGTACAAACTGCCACACCCGTGTTGCTGTGCTTCTGTGGATCCCATGTTGTTTTGCCACTGCTGATAATAACCCCCTGGGTAGTTGTCCCTGATTCATTTTCATGAGGAACTCATCTATGAGCTGGCGTTTTTTTGTGACTGTTAGTTGCTTTCTACTTGTTGGATGTACATGTCCTTCTTCTTCCTCTGCATTGTTGTTTCCTTGACTGGCTTCATAACTGTTGTTGTCTTGTGCATTGGCCTCATACTGACCCTCCTGTAAAAGTTGCTCTATTCCAAAAAAATCCTGATCAAAGGGCTGTTCCATGTTTTGCTGTGGGTCCCTTTTTGTTTTTTTCCACAGATGAGTAGGTTGGTGATGAAGTTTTGGCTTCTGATTGTTTTTGAAGTGTTGTTGAAGCGGAACCCCAATGCTGTCGTAATCCTAACTCTAATTGTAGTTTAGGCAGATTTAATCTTAACCTTTACTTTTGCATTTCATGGGGTATTTTGTGAACTTAAGATGTAAGCTTTTGAGAAACATTGGTGGAAGATGTTTATATTTATTTAATGTAACCAGTAGTATGCCCTTTTATAGTGGGCACTTTTAGAAGGTGAATGTGAATTTCATGGGGTATTTTGTGAACTTAAGATGTAAGCTTTTGAGAAACATTGGTGGAAGATGTTTATGTTTATTTAATGTAACCAGTAGTATGCCCTTTTATAGTGGGCACTTTTAGAAGGTGAATGTGAATTTCATGGGGTATTTTGTGAACTTAAGATGTAATCATTTGCTGTATGTTGGTGGGAAATGAAAAATTTTGGAATGAAATTTGGTTTCTTCCAAAATTTTCAAATTTGGCAGACTTTCAAAATTTTGGAATGAAATTTGGGTGTGTTTTGAAAATTTTCCACAAAAAAAAAAGGAGGGAAGTAGATTTCCCTCCTAAAAGCAGCGCATGCATAAAAAAAAAAGGGCCTCATGTGGTCCCTTTCACCAACTATATTCCACTATCTAAACCCACCCAATAAAATTAAACTAGTGGGACCTTTTACTTCCCTCCTTTTTCCTCCTTAATTAAACCCACCCAACTACAATTAATATCCCCTAAAAGTTTTACCTAGGAGTCCGTAAAATTGTACTTTGTTGCAGATATTCGTGGGCGGAGGTAGTATACAACATTATTTACTTTCTAAATATTAGAGCTAATTACAAGAGAATATCTATCTAAGTATAACAACTTTACAAAACAGAAAGATACGAAGAGATAACAATATTGACTAAGTAAATTAAACTAATTTAGTTACTAAGACTTATCTCCAACAATCAAGTAGAAAGCAGTTTTACTATCATAGAAACTCAAATCCATAGTAATTAAAATACTTAATACTACAAAATATGGATTGATAAACATCAAATCTTTAATTTAACGATGCAATTATTTTTTTTAAAAGAAAAAGAAAGAAAAGAAAACAAACATGGATATCCGCCTATGTTTGATGATGAAACTTTAAAAACAAGTATGGATAAAACTACGCCTAGATTGATGTGCTATACTCTTACATGTCACCTTTTAATATCCACCATTATATATGTACTGATTTTGATTTGTGAGTGAGGCTAAAGTTTTTCTTTGTCGTACTCGATGACTCATAACGTTATAAAAAATCAATTTGTTATAAGTATGTACCAACAATAAACCGGTATTTTCAATAATCATAACCTTAAGCCCTTCACGAAGAGAATAGGCGCCATGGATCCTTTCCTCTATTCTTTTCCATTACCCATGCGCAAGCTCTTACGCATTTCTTTCCCAATATCTGGCATCTTCACATAGCTAAATTCCTCGGCTCCAAAATCAAACGAAAAAAGACAGGTTTCTTCTCCTTGAAACCTAGGATGAGGTTTCCAATACCAAGCTCTTTGATAAAAAATAACCTTACTGTGATCAATTAATTCAAAACACCACTTGGGAACATTCGTCCAACTAGGCTTAACCCTCCAACGATGATCACATAGTGAATAGATTGCAATTGCAATCGATAGCTCGGAAGCTATACGATCACCAAGCTCAAAACAAACAACCTTATATTCATTACCACAAGGATCAAATCCTAAATGAAATCGTCGTCTTTCAACATTATTTGATTTAGGAATAAGAGGGCAATGAGGAAGTAACACAGATTTTCTAATAAAAGGGTTCCACAACTTCAACGACCACTTTGAATTAAAGCGCGTAGTCAGCAACAACCCATTAACCATATCAATCTCTATAAAAAAGTGTAATGCGACTAATTGAGCAGCTTTTCTAATTGTATCACTATGACGAACTGTTGTTCTTGTAAATATTGAGGTGTGTGGAAATAAAATCAGTAGAATCAATAAAAGAACACCAAGTTTTACATACACACCTGAATCGTGATAGGTTTTTGACCGACGACCTAAGCAAGATCTCTCTCCATAAATCTGGTGGCAAGAACTTGTGTTCTTTTAATTGTTTTCGACTTTTCTGACTACCTCTCATCAGTAATATGACCTGGGGTTTTACCTTTGTTTTCTAATCTAATACGTAGGATTACATATTTCAATAAAGATAACGTAGGATCTTTAAACATACGATGTCATATCGTTTATTTAATTAAATAATAGTGTACTTTTTGTAGTTTAGTTTGTGAATATCGTTTATAAATATCTATGTTATTATTGACTTGAAATTATCCTTATTGAACTTAAATTGTTTTTTTAATAGTTTTCCTATTATGTTTTAAATAAATTATAAATGCATCTTATTTTAAAGAACTTCTTAAAACAAATTTTAAGACGAAAATGGAACCAATTTATATGATATTTATTAAACGTTATGATTAATTTTGTATACCTGAAGTATTAGAAGTATATTGATAATAAACCTCTATACAATATTTTTATCTTAAAAAAACAATCCAAAATTCACTTACTTAGTATCATATGTGTCACAATAATACCTATTTTTTGCCTACGTGGTGCAACACTTAGCGAAAAACTGAATACCAAGTGTCGATGTCTTGTGCCCGGGCGATGCCCGGATTGTCATAAACTTTTTAGCTTAAATACAATCATATAACCCCTTTTGATAATGTAAATTATTTAGACATACGATATCATATCGCTTATTTATATAATATCTATGTTATTATTAACTTGATATTTTTTATTGCACTTAAATTATTTCTAATGAAAGTACTGAGTTATAAGATATTTATTAATTAAAAGTTACATTTAATTTTGTATATATGAAATATTAGAAGTATATCGATAATAAAACACTATACGTGGCTCGACACTTGGCGAAAAACTGGAATGCCAAGTGTCGATGTCTCGTGGCTTGGCTGCGAGACCGGCTTTATATATTAGTGATATGATATGATATGATAGGCAATCACTTAAAATGAGTTTCAATAATTTTATTGTATTTCTTTTTTTTACAAATAGGTGTTATTGTAACACATATGATGCTAAGTAAGCGAATTTTTGATAGATTTTTTAATATTTAATTAAATAATATTTTTTAGTTTTGTGCCCGGGCGATGCCCGAATTGTTGATAAAATTTTAGGATAAACTTTTTGGCTTAAATGTTCATTAATACGGTCCTGTAATCCATTTTGATAATGCAGGATATTTAAACATACGATATCCTATCGTTTATTTATAGAATAGTGTACTTTTTGTAGTTTTGTTTGTAAATTGATGTCTATGTTATTATTGACTTAAAGTTATTGTTATTGAACTTACATTAATTTTACTGAACTTAAGATATTTTTACCAGACCAAAATTATTTTTACATATTAAAACTTATTTATACTGATTCTATATTATTTTAACAAAATTAAATATATTATAAATGGATCTTATTTTAAAGAACTGAATTTTAGGATGGAAATAAGACCGAGTTATATGATATTTATTAAAAGTTGTAATTACTTTTGTATTAAATTAAATATGAAATATTAGAAGTATAGTGATAATAAAACTCTATACAACATTTTTATCTTATAAAATCTATCCAAAAATCACTTACTTAGCATCATATGTGTCACAATAATACCTATTTGTCGCCTACGTGGCGCAAAACTGGGCGAATAACTAGAATGCCAAGTGTCGCTGTCTCGTAATTTGGCTGCGAGACCGAATTTATTTATTAGTGATATATATGATATGATATGGAGCATGCATATTAGGCGTTTTTTTTTTCTTTGACTAGATATTAGGTTTTTTTTTTTGGGTGCTACATAAGATATTGGAAAAGAGTCCAAGGAAAGAATACATGGCGCCAATTTTCTTCAAGAGATTCTGATTTAAATGCCTACAAATTCTTTGCACGTAACATAGTTTACGATAGTAATATCAAGATTGTGTATATTGAAAATTCTAGTACATTGTCGGTACACAAATTTAACAAACTGATGTCTTACAACATCATAAGCCATCAAGTAGAAAAAATTAGAAACTTTGACGACCTCACTCACATAAAAGTGAAATCAAAGTACAAAATGGCGGATACTAAACAGGTAAAAGTAATGCTTACTTCGTATTAATCTAGGGTTTGTTTGCTAGTTTTATTATTTTTTTTAATTTAGTTTTTGATGTAAAAAAAGTCTCGTTCTTATGTACTTTTATTTTGAAGAAAGTTTCTTATGTACTGATATAAACGTGAAATAAATTCTTGGAGTGTGCTTCAATTCAACAAATTCAAGTAAACAAACTAAACACTTCAAGGAGAAATTGTACCAAATAAAGTGATCTGATAGTGTACCATGGTTTTTGTGCACAAAATCCAGCAGTACAGTAACTCGGAAAGAGTTGTTAGCCTAGAGCGATTTTCTTATGGTATTGATGGACTGGTAGTGTGGTGTTAGTGTTCATAGCCATTTCAATGTCAGTAACGGCATCTACAGTTTCGCCTTTCAGCCATCCATACTCTATGATCGCACGATGCCACAAACCATCAATGCCATTTATGCTCGTGGAACTCACAAAAATTGTTGTGATGCATCTAAACTAACTCAATTATTCGTTTATTTTGCATAATTCTACAATTGCATATATATTTGCATACATTGAAAATGAAAACACTTGGCGACCTTGGCCACGATGACGTTAGGTCTCATACAAGGTAGTACTTCGTAATGAATCTGTTCAAGACCTTGGCTTAATTTTCGCTTCCTATATGGCTTTATTTCCACATTAAGACAATGCATAATAAAGGGAAGTCTGAAACACGGTTGCTATCTCTCTTGTCCACCTGGCTGTAACCTCTTCAGGCTTCACAATGTTACCTGCATTTTG